GGAGGGTACAGCTGGCTCTGCCTCTAGATAGTCAGAGCCAGCTGTCACTCATGTAGCTGGGCGGATCCCGGCACAATTGTCGGGATCCGCTTCAGCTCCGGCGTCTCAGTATACCGCGAGCTGTAGCTCTCTATATACTGAGCTTAGGGTGACGGGAGGACGCTAGTTTGTGTCCTCCCGTTACCCTAAAGAGAACTATGGGGGAAAACACTGACCCCATAGTTCTCCTTTAATAGCCACAGAGTTCAGCTTTAATGACATCGGCCTGTAGTATGATGACAGTTGAGAACACTTACCTGTTGTGAAACCAATCAAAGCCTTTTCTCCTCCATCAAAGCCAGTTATCCACCAGGCATTAATAGGACCCAACTTCTTGGCCCGTACCCCACCTGTCGGAAGCAATAATGGGAACAATTAGAAAGCACGCACGCAGAGTCATGTACAGTTCTATGAGAATTTCCATTCCATTGGGAATTGGCTGCAAGATGCAACTTCTGATAAGTGAATTGGATCATTTAGCAGACAGTTCACACCAGATGCAGTGCGTTCCGGGCCAATTCTGGCCGGAAACGCACTGCATCGCGGCCGGCTCACTTTTGTGGGGCATTGAAGTGAATGGCACCGTAACCTCACAGCGATCGCAAGGCGCATTGGGAATGCAGTCCGGTGCAATCAAAAAATAGTGCTTGCAGCATTTTGATCGCACCGCAGGCACAATGTGCCTTGCAATCCCGTGCAGGCGATCGCATTGCGGCCGGCGTGGCTACGGTGCCATTCACTTCAATGGCCCGCCGTGCCCTCTCCTGCCCCACAAGGTGAGCCGGCAGCCATGCAGTGCGTTCCGGCCAGAAGCGGACCGGAACGCACTGCATCTGGCGTTAACGTACCCCGAGAAACTCACCATCTAGAGAGGGATTGTCATCGTAGATTGGTTTTACAACACCGCTGAAATACAGCTCAACATTCTTCTCAATCAAACCCGAGTCGAAGGGACACAAGTGACCCCTCTTGTCATAAATACTGCAAGGTAAAAAAAAAAAAAAAAAAACAAAGAATTAACCCTTGTGAGCTCTGGAAGAGACGACATGACAACTACAGAGACAGAGACACCTACCTGAAACATGTCACTTTGTGCTGGGGGAGGTCCTCATAGCTCTCAAAGCCATCTTCATTGGAATCGAATAAAGACAAGCGCTCATCGGTCAACATCTCCGGCTCGTCCAACTATGAAACAAGATAGACGATCACGAGCAGCATACATCGCTTCTCAATGGTGACGCTGCTGCTGCTGCATTTCCCATCTACAGAGCGCAACTAGGGAATCTATCCTCTATGCCAGGGGTAGGCAAACAATGGCCTTCCGAGCTGTGGCGAGACTACAAACCCCGTCATGCATCTGCCAATGGAAGTCGTGTGTGGCCATCAAGTCTTGCAATGTCTCATGGGATTTGTAGTCGGACCACAGCGGGAGGGCCAGAGTTTGCCTACCCCCTGATCAGATTACAGCCCACAGGGACCAAGGGGCGCAAGTGTTCTGGGATTTAACGGCCAGCCATACCCTGCGCCTTGAGAAAACGGGACGGACCTCAAATACAAAATCCGGTCTTAATTCTTCCGCAACATTGTAGTTCTGGCGATATTTATTCTAGCTTTATGAACTGGGCCCATCAAGCTCTGAGAACTGAATTATATGAAGCAGGGGGGATTATAAAAGGCTTTCTATAGCGCCAAGTATTTGAGCAGCGCTTTACAATATAAGGAAGACATTACAATCACAAGACAATATGGCAAGGAGGGCCCTGCCCCCGAGGGCTTACAATCTAAGAGGGAGGGGCCAGTGATGCCAGGTACAAGGCCTCAAAGCTGCTATAGAGAACAGTATGCCAATACAACCCTAGGTACAGGAGCAGCAAGAAAGCACCAAACCCATTTCTACTCACAGCATCATCTGGGTCTCCTTGGAATAACTTGAGATCGGGGTCGTCCAGGTACTGCCTGCAGTCCACACACTTCGGAGGGGGGGCCTGCAGGAAGAGAGCAGTGTTTGTACCAGGCTGCAACATGCGCGTATGCATGAACACATAACTGGCACACAAACTTACCTTTGGCACCTGCGCAGGTTTTGTTTTGGGCGTTTCTTCTTTCACTGACCTATAAAAACAAAGAAAAATCCTGAGCCTTCTCTTTACCAACTAGTTCAGAAATCAGGACTTTTACATAAAAAAGGGTACCGTATATACTCGAGTATAAGCCGTCCCGAATATAAGCCGAGGTACCTAATTTTACCACAAAAAAACTGGGAAAAAGTATTGACCCGAATATAAGCCGAGGGTGGGAAATGAGGCCGCTACTGGTAGATAGATACCAATAAAATTACATGATTTAAAAGAATAACCTAGCTCTGTAAGTGGAAAAGGGGGTACAGGGCTACATACCATGTCCTACGGATCATTTAACCCATTCATATTAGCAGAGGATAATTGTTAATCTATTGTTCAGTGCACTCTATATGTAGTATATATGACATGTACATATAGAGTGCCTGCAACAATACATTTACAATGATCCTCTGCTAACATGAATGGGTTAAATGATCCATAGTACAGGGCTACATACAGATCATTTAATCCATTCATGTTATTATGTATTGTCTGCACTGTATTAGCAGTATATACTCTATAAGACGCTCGGCGAGGTAAGTAAGAAGAAACCTGATGCTGACTTGAGTATAAGCCGAGGGGGGCACTTTTCAGCAAAAAAAAATGGCCTGAAAATCTCGGCTTATACGCGAGTATATACGGTAATTAAAAACCCAAACCATTCTGTGCTACTTTCCAGAACGCAGCATTTTATACAAGCCTAACCAGCATGGAAGTCTCCACACGAGTAATGGACCCGTTAGCTATATACAAGCCAACAATGTTTGCAAGTATAGTGAAGGTGGAAGCCGGTTTGAATTTTACAGCGAGATTGAACTGAAGAAAAAAAAAATCTAGAACACTACAGCCTCTTGCCAGTCTGTACAATCACTGCTTCCATTAGAGTACAGCGGAAGCAACAGAGCCCCTTTAATAGTGTGCGGCGCTGGCCAAGAGCGGGAGCAACTGAACCCCTCCAATAGTCCAGAGCTGGCCCTACAGCGGGAGCAACTGAGCCCCTCCAATAGTCCAGAGCAGGCCCTACAGCGGGAGCAACTGAGCCCCTCCAATAGTCCAGAGCTGGCCCTACAGCGGGAGCAACTGAGCCCCTCCAATAGTCCAGAGCTGGCCCTACAGCGGGAGCAACTGAGCCCCTCCAATAGTCCAGAGCTGGCCCTACAGCGGGAGCAACTGTGCCCCTCCAATAGTCCAGAGCTGGCCCTACAGCGGAAGCAACTGTGCCCCTCCAATAGTCCAGAGCTGGCCCTACAGCGGAAGCAACTGAGCCCCTCCAATAGTCCAGAGCTGGCCCTAAAGCGGAAGCAACTGAGCCCCTCCAATAGTGCGGAGCTGGCCCTGCAGCGGAAGCAACTGAGCCCCTCCAATAGTCCAGAGCTGGCCCTACAACGGAAGCAACTGAGCCCCTCCAATAGTCCAGAGCTGGCCCTACAGCGGAAGCAACTGTGCCCCTCCAATAGTCCAGAGCTGGCCCTAGAGCGGAAGAAACTGAGCCCCTCCAATAGTCCAGAGCTGGCCCTAGAGCAGAAGCAACTGAGCCCCTCCAATAGTCCAGAGCTGGCCCTAGAGCGGAAGCAACTGAGCCCCTCCAATAGTCCAGAGCTGGCCCTACAGCGGAAGCAACTGTGCCCCTCCAATAGTCCAGAGCTGGCCCTACAGCGGAAGCAACTGAGCCCCTCCAATAGTCCAGAGCTGGCCCTACAGCGGAAGCAACTGAGCCCCTCCAATAGTAAGAAGCTGGTCCAACAGTATAGGAGCAACGCCTGCAGAGAACATTAGGCTCCCTGCATACAAGATCTGGGGCAACCGGCAGATGTCACACAGCTAAGTAGCCATTAAGCCCAACATTAGGCCCCCTGGATACAGGATCTGGGCTCAGGACAACCTGCTGATTTTTATACAGCCACATATACTAAAGAAATACCAAGTGTGATAAGCCAGCATAAGCCATGTCTCAGTTATAGCCCCTTGTTAGGTCGTCATGTTCAACTGAACCATCTTTAAAGCCAAACTGATAGAAATCACCGACGTGCCTAAATGTGAACAGTTTCTGGCTATTTGGGGGGCGTCAGTCGGTCTTCTGAAACTTACCCAACTTCTTCACTGGCTTCAACTTTCAACCTTTTCTCCACTTGCTCCTGGGGGGCAAAAACAATCAGAACAGCAATAATGGGAATATGCAAGTAGACAGATCTGGGGGGCAATATGCCGAGTGCATTCTAGAACTAGGTCATTAGAGGGCAGTCTATGGATCTCATACCTTCGCTTCCGTTTCCTCCACTTCAATGGGCGCTTCAGGTTCAGTCTTTACGTCACCATTCACATCATTAGATTTACGTTTGTTGGATCTGTGTGTAGGAAGTCACATGTACGTATTAGATTCTACAGACTCCATAGAATACAGTGCAATTGTCACAAGCTTGTCTTCACTTAGCTGCACTGTAGAGAAGGACCAGTGAAGGTCATTATTGTGCAGCGTAGAAAAGTATGAAACAAGCCTGTATGTGTACCAAGTAGGGATGGACCGATACCACTTTTTTAAGACCGAGTACCGATACTTTTGATCAAGTACTCGCAGATACCAATTACCGATACTTTTTCTTAAAGGGGCAGGTCACATTTTTTCTAAAGCAATACAAACGAATGCTTTAAGGTCACTTTCTTAATATTATGATTCATGAGACGAGGGAGCATGACGCCGGCTTCCCGGCCAATCAGAATGCCGGGAGCTGAGTCATTACACGGCACCCGGCTTCTGGATTTGCTAGCTTCCTGACCAATCGGGCAGCGCGTCATTGCATGCTACCCGGCTTTCTGATTGGCCGGGAAGTCGGCTCCATGCTCTCTCATCACAAGTGACGAGAGAGCATGGAGCCGTTGCCTGGCAAATCAGTAAACCGGGTAGCGTGTAATGGTTCGCTACCCGGCTTCCTGATACAGGAAGTACTCGTGCTAGGTATCGGAGCATTTGGGCGAGTACGAGTACTCACCTAAATACTCGGTATCGGCACCGATACTAGTATCGGTGCATCCCAAGTACCAAGCAAATACAGCGTTCCCATGTACTGTATATACCAGATTACAAAGTAACTGTTGGAACAGCTTTACTTTTGTTTAACTTGTGGTCGCTGGTGATACACATCTGGCAGCATGGTGGTGGGCTTTAATGTTGTGCTACCACATGTATACATACAGCCGAAGCTGCCGTTCTGTGAGCATGCTCAATTGTGTGCCCCGAGCACTGCTACTGAACGGTCACTGACCACCGTTTACAATCAGAAGCTGGTAGGATGGACTCCTGATCACATGACCACTTACAGCCAATCACATGATTGGGAGCCCACCTACCAGCCCCAACTGTAAAGAACCATTTAAAGGGCCAGCAGGTAGAGGGGGGGGGTTAAAGAAATCAACCAAACACTAAAAACAGCTACAAGATTGGCTTTCTCCTGCAGCATCACCTGATAGTGTTGTCTGGTACAGCCATAGATTACACACTGTAGCAGGGATTGGTAAACTTATCCAGGGTCCCGAATGAGAAAGCTAATGTATGGGGCTTTATGGAGAATTGGCAAGTCGTGAGGTATACAAAAAAGGTAAATAGCCAACCCTTACCCCGCCCCCCACAACCCACATTTGTTTTGATTCTAGTTCATAGATCTATACCAACCCTTTAGAGAACATGGACATGATAGTGGGCTGTTTGCCGGCACTTCTTGTGGGACGTGATCGGCTGCCGGATTCTGCAATGTGAAAGAAGTCATTATAAACAGATCCAAATAAGATAAACCAGAACAGTGTCCTTCATATTATAGCAACACAGCAAGTTCAACATGTTGGGTAGAAGAGCTCACACAGGAAAATGTCCTTATGCAAAAAAGCCATTGCAGGTTTTGGTGCAGACATACCACGTGCCAAATACTACGGTACTGATCAATAGCAATCCCTTCCGAAGGTACAGACCCAAAATACAGGTAGAAGCTTTCCCGCCCAGCAACGTGACGTCACCGGCATGAGGTCTTCATACTCACTCTTGGTCTCCCCATTCGTTTTGCTCCTCCGGCCCCTGCGGCCTTTTGTACCGGGCGTTGCCGTTTCCTCCATTTCCACGTCTTCGTCTTCGCTGCCACAAGTGCCATTCGGAGAACATCCGTTCGTCTCGCCATTTACAGCTCCATTCTCACCACCAAATTCTCTCTGCAGCAAGGCTTTCACCTTCGTTAAATAACCTTCCTGATATAGAAAGAGAGATGGGGCAAGTTCAGAAGGCGTTAAAATACAAACGCGTAAAAAAATTCAACTCAAATAACCGGGCCTTTCATGCAGAGCAAGCTGGTGG